GCCAAGACCTAGTTAGTGACCAGGCAGCCAGAAGGAGTTCCAGGAGGCACAAGGAAGGAAGTTGGGGGATTAGGAGGCACAGAATGGAGAATGCTCTGGGGAGATGGGTGCTTTGTTGGTGCGACTGTTCATTTATTCCTCCAGTGACCACGTGAGCAGTATGGCTGCACACACAGGCTCTGGAGCCAAGCTGCCTGGGCTCACATTTGGTCTCTGTGCTTTGGAAAATTTCATAAACTTTCTCTACCAGTTCCCCTTATTACCCGTAAGATTGATGTGAGGATTAACCTAGCATGTAGTAAATATCCTATAAATATTATTATTCAACAGTGTACTTCTTTGCCAGGAACAAAATTCCCCTATTCCTCTTTAAATGTACTCCAGTCTGTCTCCTGGGAAAGATTCTTGTGAGCTCCCTGGGGACAGGAACCATATTTTATTTGTCTCACTATATCCATAGTGGTTTTTGCTAAACGAATTCATTTGCTAAATGAATGAACCAGGAACAACTTAAGACCTTCAAGAGGCTGCCATTATAATGGATCTTGACATCTCTCTCCTTTCCACATGCCTTTGTCCGAGCTGTTTCTTAACCCAGTATTTCACTATCCCTCTTCTCCATCAGTATTGGGAATGAGCAAATACCGTTAGTGCATACCTCACATGGTATTATAATTATTTGCTAATGCGTCTGTCTCCTCCATGACTCTGAGATCCTTGAGGGATTATTCCATGTTGCACCCCAGGTGCCCCATGCAGATGTGTGTTTTGTGAACTGTTCTGTGTAGGCTACAAAGGAAAAGGCCTGGCACCTGCCCTTGGGAGCTCACCCACCCAGAGTGGACAGAGGTGTGCAGACAGAGCCGCAGGGTGGGCATGAAGGGTCCATCTGCTGAAGTCCTGCAGATGCAGCCCTGAGCTGGTCCCTCGTGTCAGCAGCCTGGCTCCTGGTCTCAGAGAGAACTGTGTGGTTCCCAAGCATTTGCTTTAGGAAGAATCACCCTCCCCTCCCTGGCTCTCTGCTTGAAGGAACTGTCAACCTGGGAATTTGCAAACTCTCTTTAATCCTTAAGAGGAAAATGTTTTGGTAAAAAGTCAATATTAGCAGATACACTTGGGTGAAATTCCTTCCCTGGAAATAAAGAATAGGGTCATTAATATCCACAGTAAAGTGACTTTAAATGCCCCCAGGGGATCAGCAGGAACCAGGGCTGTGAGGAAAGGATCAGGGTGGGGAAGAGGCTCCCACTTCCCTGTGAGGAGTTGCACATGCAGTCTCACTGGAGCTCACTGCTGCAATGCTGTTGCCTGTGGTGGTTGGTGTGGATGCTGCCTGCCAGGAGCCCTGATTCCCCAGGAAGAGAGATAAAGAATTCCCTCAGGATGACCCCGGTCTCATCTGCCTGTACAATTCCTGGAGCCTTTGGGGAGCTGAAGTCAGGGGCTCAAGTGCCCCTGGGTTTCCTGGAGGAGGCAGGTGTGGTGAGACAGCTGACAGACAGGAGAAGGGATGCTCTGTGGAAGTGACCATCCAGGCGTGGGAACCAGATGGCCCCTGGCTGTAGTCCTGATGCTGCCACTTGCTAGCTCTGTGACCTTGAGCAGGTTACTCCACCTCTCTGAGACAGACTCACTGTCTGGACAATGAGTAAAATTTTACCTTTCCTCTCTCAGAGATTTGGCTTTGGGACCCAATGACATCAATTGGAAAGGACCCTGTGGGTGAAAGGTAACCTTTCAGAACAGCGACAAGCCTGTCTGGGCAGGATGAATGGGCTGTGGAGCCCTGTATATCCTAGCTCACTCTTTGAACCTCAGTTTCCACTTTTTCCCTTTTTATTTATTACCGGGTCTTAAATGAGTATTGGGGGTATTTGATTCCCCCTCTCCCTGTACTTTTGTGGCCAAGCACTGAGCTGAAAAGACAATTCCTCCTAGTTCTTCAAGCCTACAACCTGCCCCCTAACCAGCTGTGAGCTGTAATACATTCTCCAGTGTCACTGTGAAGTCTGTGCCTTCACCCCCGTTTTATAGATCAGGAAACAGAGGCTCCTCTAAGTAAAAGGGCTTGCCTCAGATTTCACAGCCAGTGAGTGGAAAAAGCCTCTGGGATTCAAATGTCAGAGCCCATATTTTTCCTACTTTTCGCACCTGTTATCAAATGCTGCTTCTTCCTTTAATCTACAGTTCCCTCCCTTCACCTCCAGCGTCTCAATCCTTCCCACTCTTTAAGGTTCAGTTCAGTTATGACTTCTTCTATGAGGCTCTACTCATTTTCTCAGATTTCTTCCTCCTCCAAATTTCTTTTAAAAAATATGTTTTTTCTCTGACTGTAAAAGAATGCACATTACATTAGAAAAGATACACAAGCATACAGAACATAAAAACCACCTAATATCCCATCACCCAGAAGCTTCCAGTTTTTTCTTTATGCATTTGCATATGCATTTGTATATACTTTTCCCCAAAATTTCTCTGATACTTTGTCCTACTTTTCTTTTGGCCCTTATAACTTCCTGACTTCGGTACCTGTCTGATTTGCCCTACCAGAGTGTGAGCCCCTGGAAGGCAGCCTCTGTGCCCTGATTCAGGCTGCCACACATATGCGGGCTCCTAGTGAGCTGGAGGGAAGGACATGCGGTTGGGGAACTTGGAGACTCATGCTTTCAGCTGTGTGCTTCGTCCCTAGAGTGCAGGCAGAGGAGGAATCAAATGCCCTCAGCACTCTTGTAAGGACCCCAGCAATCAGTGTGAGAGGGTGCCTGCCAGACATACCATTCTTTACATTTCAGCTTAAAACAGATACAAAGCTTTGGGGAGGCTCATTGGAGGAGGCTTGGGGCTACACTGGAAAGAGAAGAACTTGGATTCACACCCCGGCTTCTCCTCTTCCCAGCTCCGTCACATTTGCAAACTTGAGTCTCAGTTTCCTCATGTGTAAAATGGGGATAGGGTTTATAGGGTTGTAAGGATGAGATGATGAGTTGTTTGCAAACAACTTCTCACAGTGCGCAGGGAAGGCCAGCAATGAGAGCCAGTCCCTCCCTTTCTTCTTCCCAAATGATTAATATATCTGTTACCAACTTCCATTCATTATATAGCTCTGTCATGTGCTAAGCACCATGGGGGCTGAAAAAGATGTTCTTCCTGCCTTAAAATCCCACTGGGGATGAACGAATTACACAGGAGCTGATTAGAAAGGAAGGTACTCCATTATGAGGGCTAATTGAGCAGTGCAGACAATGTTGCAAACTGAGTTAGAGCAGGGAGAGCTTATTGTGTGCTGGGGTCCTCAGGGATGCCACAGATGCATAAATAACCACCTCTGCTACTCTGGAAGTAGTCACATCAGGAAGACTCCAGAGATAAGCTTATCTAGTCTGTGGCCACAAAGCTTCCAGTAAGCTTTGGGTTTTTATGTCTCATGTTACCAGCTTGTCTGTAAATTGTAAATTACAGCAATCTGATGGTTAGGGAATGAGAAGTTTGGCTGGGTTAAGATAATAAAATGAGACCACAAAGATTAGAGAACAGGAAAAGAGGGGACTGAGGACTACATACCCACCAGAATCTCCATTCAGTCACCTGACCCTTAGCGGGAGGGAAATTTCATCAGGCTCATTTCCATCCTTAATTTCGTCCATCCTGGTTCTCCTAACAGGGGGCATTTATCAGAGCTATGGCATGGGAAATCACAGGGGAGTAATGTACCACGACATTTACGAGTATGAACTTTGGAGTCAGAGCTATTTCTCCATTACTTACTGGCTGTGTGACTTTGGGCAAGTTACTTAGCCTTTCTCTGAGCCTCACTTTCTTTATCTGTAAAGTGAGGGTGAACAAAATAAACCTCCTTCATATGGTTATTTTGAGCTTTATAAAGAGACAGTAGTGACTGAGCACGGTGGCTCACTGCCTGTAATCCCAGCACTTTGGGAGGCCAAAGCTGGAGGATTTGGGCAACATAGGGAGATTCCTGTCTCTACAGAAAAATATACAAAAATTAGTCAGGCATGGTGGTGCGTCCCTGTAATCCCAGCTACCCAGGAGGCCAAGGCAGGAGGATCACTTGAGCCCAGGAGGTAGAGGTTGCAGTGAGCTGAGATCATGCCGTTGTACTCCAGCCTGGGCAACAGGAGTGAAACCCTGTCTAAAAGAGAAAGAGAGGGAGGGAGGGATGGAGGGAAAGAGAGAGAGAGAGAGAGAGAGAGAGAAAACACTACTACGGTGCTTATAAAAGTTCAATAAATTTTAGCTGTTTTTAGTATTATTAAAGTAAGATCTGTGTGAAAATAAAGATTTTTTCCCCCAAATATTCATGTCAGAAGTATATATTTCATTGGCAAGTGGCTGCTTCTGGAAGGTTGAGAGGTGTCCTAGGGGAGGTGATACAGCACTGGCAAAATTGCCATCACAATTCAAGTTACCTCACTCAGTGTTTTTTAAGTTATCATAATCCACAGTATGAAAAGCATTTGACATTACAGTCCACTATATTTATGCATTTATAAACAAGAGAAAAAATCACGAAAAATGTAGTACCACATGCAGTACACACTGATTTCATCTATCCCTTTTTTTTGTTTTCTTTTTCTTCTAATGCACTTGCTACCTACTTATTCCAGACCCAGTGATTGGGTCCCTATCCACAGTTTGGAAAACACTATAAGAAATGATTTTGTCCTCTCACTTTCCCTGTCTAAGATTTAGTTTTCCAACTATAAAATGCTCCTGATGCCCAGCCAGCCTCACTGCTGCTCCGAGTCAATGCCAGGAATGCTGATTTAGCACATGTTATTTGGAGGGTACCCATCCAGGTGCTGTGGGAGGGACAGAGACTGAGAAGGGTGCTTTCTGACCCCACAGAGGCCATTTGGAAACCCTGGGAATGGGTGGGAGGATGAGAGGGGTAGGGATTCCTTCACCCCTAAGACCCAACGTGATGGAACAGCACTGGGGCGGGAACTAACTGGTGTTGGTCTTTCCCATTTGTGTCCCAGCAGCCTTCCTGACAGCGAGACAGGAGAGGACCCCAGGTACAGCCTTGGGACTGGGTCAGAAGTGGGTCCCAACAAAGGGAAGGGGCAGAGTGGGAGCGGGGGACTTGTGGGTGGGGAATGCTGAGTGTGGATTCAGGGGTGTGCAGCCTACATATTTTCAGAGACATGGGGCTAAGGCCTGCATTCTCAATGAGGGCAAAATTTGGTTCTTGGGGGCAGAAAACACTCAGACATTGCAATGCTTTGTGACTGTCCAAAGTACCAAACAGAGAGCAGTGTATCTGTGGTGCTAAAATGTCATGGTGGATGGAGTCAGAAAATAGATTCGTGGTTGTGAGGGGCTGGTGGGAGAGAGAGGGAAGGGACTGCCGATGTGTACGGGATTTCTTTTGGGGAAGATAAAATGTTTTGGAATTAGATAGTGGTGATAGTTGCACAACCTTGTGAATGTACTTTTAGTTTCAGAGGTATTCTAAACCTCTGATTCTTTTTTAAGTGACAGGAAAGACAGAAAAAAAAATATATCTAAAAAGGCTCTAGGAGTGACAATGGAAAAGAAAGTTGAGAAATACGGCTGTAAGAAAAGGAGATGGGTGTCCCGCAGAAAATTCAGTCTTGTTGCTCTGTGTTCAATGTGCAAATCTAAAAAATCCGAGTGAAATAGATTAATGAGGCTCTGAGTCCCTCAAAACTTTCCCTCCCCCCACCTCTCCCAAGAACATTTGAGACACCTAGGGGTGGTATGAAGTCAGGATGGGAAGGTTGGCTCAGCTTTATAAATAAGTTTAAGCCTCCGGCCTTTGCTTTCCAACACCAAAGAGGTTTCACTTTGCTGTATTTTCTCTGCCCTTTCTCCCTCTTTGTCCCCAAGTATCAGTATGTGATGACAGGCTCAGCCTCTATAACGGTAGTGACAGTATTTCTTGAGCCAAAAATCAGACCTCATGGCGTGTGACAAGTGTGCATGTGTGGGTGAGAACAGAGTAGCAGAATATTTGACATGGGAGCAGCTTGGGCAGTCCAGGGCACATGGCACTGCACCTGACATCTTCCCTGGCAGATCCCCCACATTCCATGGTTGTCTTCTGATGGGGCCACATGCGCTGCAGATCATGTCTGAAGCCCTCGCAGCTCCGTGGCCATGGGTTCCCACCCCCAGAGTGCAGGTGCTGGTGTCAGCCTGCCTGGCCTGGCCTGGCCTGGCTCTGTCCAGAGCGCTCCCTGCCCCGGCTATTTGTGCAGCTGTATCAGCCTCAGATCTCAGCCTGTTCATTCCGACCCGAATACAGAGGCTGGGTCTGGAGGAGCCACATAGTGGGCTGCATACTCCCTGACCTGGCAAGTTTTCCCCCCAGAGCCTGCACCAATGGCACCTCTCCCTATTCTCCCTCTTAACTGGGTCCTCCAGGGCCCTCCTCACACACCCATGTGGCCAGGTAGCAGAGGCTTCCCCAAGATGGCCACACCCCACTCTCCACACCTCTCTATGCAGCATTTGTAGCTGTAGACTGGGTCCCGCGGATTGTAAAGGCATGCTCATGTTGGGTTAGAGGGAGCTCAGCATCTTCCTGGAGGACACGGTTCACTCCCATGAGAGCTCAGTGTGCCTTTCCTCCCCTGCTGCAGCCCAGAGCGGGAGACAGCGACTGGCTCGGATATCAGGTACCACATCCTGGGAACATTGCCCTCCAGGGTCAGCCCCCTCCAAGGCGCTCTCAGGCCCAAGGGAGCCACATCACTCTGGAGGGCAGCCCCCAGGCCCCAGCCCCAGCCCCAGCGTCTGGGGGAGCCCAAGGAGGGCCCCTGTGCTCCACCAGGTGGCTTAGGAGTTGCTGCTGTTTCTATGCGTTCATTTACTCCCTTCACACAAGATCATTTTTATCTGGGATCTCTTTTTTTTTTTTTTTTTTTTTCTTTCTTTTTGTCTTCAAAAACCATATCACACAAAATGTTGCTTCCTTGGCTCTGCTTTTTTTAAAAAAAAAAAAAAAGTTCCTCCATTTGGAGAATTACCTGCTAAATTCAGTGACTTGAGGGCTACCCAAAGAGGGAGGAAGCCGAAAGTTGAGTGTTCCCTTGGTTTGGTCATACTTTTGGGCTCCTCCCTGACTAAGGAACAACAGACTGCAGGGCTGGGGCAGGCTGGGTGTAGGGCAGGGAGGGGATGAGGTCCTGCTGCCCCAGTCAGCTGAGACCCAGACCTCTCAAACCTGCCTGGGGAAAGGCAAGGCCACCAGAGGCCACGCTAAGCAGATTTCTACCAGCTGCACCTCCCCATCCCCTTGCCCCCATCTGAGCAATCGGCTTGACAACTGCCTCTGAGAACAAGCCCCTGAGAATGCCTCCCGAACCCCTACTCCCACCCTGCTTCTTCCAGGAAGAGAGGCCCTGTGGCCTATGCTTCTCAGAAACCATGGCTGCTAAATGCCACTGTGGAGGAGAACATCATCTTTGAGAGTCCCTTCAACAAACAACGGTAAAAGCCTGCTGGAGGGAGGCAGGATGGGGGAAGGGAGGAACTGTCTCTGGCCAGCCTACCCCAGTTCCGGGCCCCTCCATCGATCACCCACACCCAGCCATCTCACTCACCAGGCGCTTATCTGCACTCCAGCCTCTCCATATGGTGCACCAGGAGAGGGGCCAGGTGTGCCTGAGCATCGGGGCAATCCAGCTCCCGGAGGGAAGAGGGCAGGTGCGGAGGGAAGGGAGAGAGGCCTGCTGCCTTTTCTCTAGCTGGTGGGAGGGCTAGCCAGCTCTCTCTCTGAGTCTCCATTCGCCTGGCTTCTGCACTATTTTCCCTCCAATGATAATAGTTAGGGCTAGCATCGATTGAGCTCTTATCACGTACCAGGCCCAGTGCCGAGCTCTTTGTACACGGAATTTCCTCTCATGCTTACAACAACCTCAGTAGGTAGGTACTATTATTATTCCACTCTACAGATGAAGAACCAAGTCTCAGAAAGGTTAGGTAACTTACCCAAGGCCACCCAGCCAGTAAGTGACCAAGATGGGTCTCAAATCCAAAGCTGCCTAACACCTAAATACACGTTTTTCACCAAGATACACTGATGCCTCCATGAACTCTGGCTGGCACCTGCCCAGGCCAAGGGCTGGCTGGGGAAGTATGAGAGGAACAATGGGCAAATATTTGACCAGCCATCATCATTACTGCCTAAACCAACCAGCAGTGATTTTCCCTAGCAGTGCCCCTAGCATGGGCTCCGGCTGCAGCTTTTCCCACTGCATAGAGACCATGAGTGCCTTTTCATCACTTACTCTGCATGTTTGCTCCCAACCAATTCCATCCTTCTAGTATTTAACCTGCCCAAACGCTGTGTGAAGTGCTGATCTCAGCTCTTTTCAAGCTCACATGGTGTTTGCTTGCACCTGAGCGGGAGGCCCATTAAAGCCATTGCTTACCCTGGGCACAGCTACCCAGAGACTAATGACCCTCTGCAAGTGCTCAGGCCAACTCTGACCAGGCTGACCAGGTGCACCCTCTGCCTCTACCCATGCCAGGTACAAGATGGTCATTGAGGCCTGCTCTCTGCAGCCAGACATCGACATCCTGCCCCATGGAGACCAGACCCAGATTGGGGAACGGGTTAGTAGCAGCCTCTGAGGGGTTTTTTCAAAGCCAGGACCCCCAACCTATCACGCCCTGAGACACTACTCGGGAGAGTGGGTAACTAGGAAATAGGAGACATTGAAGGCTGAAGAGTTGCCTGCAGAGAGGTCAAACATGATGTCCTTGATGATGTCCTTTGACAGGTTTTCAGTCCTGCTTGGAGGGCAAGGTCAGCTTAGCGCCCTCCCAGGCTGGGATCTTCTTCATTTGTGCCCCAGGTATATACTGAGAGCCCACGCAGCACTGTGCTCAGCCTGGGTGGTTTTCTTCCTGTTCATCCTCCGGATGGGGTCCCCTCCAGAAGCTTAGAGGAATAGAATTCTCCTGTGACTGTCCTTCCTTTGTGTGATTTAAATCCCTACTGCCTCTGTCTTTTTTTGCATTGGTCAGATGGTCCCTAGCACCTACAGGATGAATCTTTAAAGACTTGGGGCTCGTGCTCCCCTTTTCCAAATGAATTCAGTAAACACTCAAGTTCCTTCTCTCTGCAAGGCGAGAAGCGGGCAAAGAAGTGGATAGAGCCAGGCCTCCGTCCCAAAGAGCTCACAGTCCAGTAGGGGCCAGGACAGTGTCCCCTGAATGGCTGAGGGCATGATCTGTTCCTCCTCTTTGGTGACAGGGCATCAACCTGTCTGGTGGTCAGCGCCAGCGAATCAGTGTGGCCCGAGCCCTCTACCAGCATGCCAACGTCGTCTTCTTGGTGAGTGCACCAGCTGGCAGTTCCCTTGGGGTCCTGGTCTCTGGCTGCTTCCCAGGCCTAACCTCCACCTCCCCCCGACCCACCATCATCCAACAATCTCCCTCTCCAGGAGTAAACCCCTCCTGCCAGATATATTGCCTAATTATCCTAGTGATAGGGAAACTGAGGCAGGCAAGGAGAGCACGAATGACCCATTGCAGACTTCAGATTGAGCTCTGCAGTAGCCAATGAGGAGAGGCAAGCTGTAGTTACAGGCGGCCTGTCTGTGGGACAGCCCAACCCCTCAACACTTACGCAGCCCAACTATAAGAATGGCTGATACACGGAATGTGTGCTGCCACTTCCCATCTGATGCCCAGGACAGACATTGCTAATTGTTCACAGCATTATTTCCCATAGACCTTAACTCATCCTCAGAATCCTTCTCAACACAGCACTCCAGGTAACCACTAGCTATCAAACATGAGATAAAACTTATTCGCTATCTTTACGCTACTTTGTGTCAAGCTCTGTTGTGTCAGGTTTCTTGACTGACACTGAAGAATTCTAAGACCCAGTCCTTGGCCTCAAAGATTTAGCATCTGATAAGACAGACAGAGCTCACCCAGTTCAAGAGATCCAGCCCAGTTCAAAACCAAACTGTGCGGCATGAACTATGAGGAGGACTTGTCCAGGCAATCAACTGTGAGGGCTGGAGTAATCAGGGAGGGCTTCCTGGAGGAGAGCCTCAAAGGGAAAGCCGATTAAACAGAAGGAAAGAGGGAGGCCATTTGCACAGGGAGTTGGAAGAAGGAAGCCCAAGTCTCTGATTCCAGCTTTATTCCCTCCCCTCTCCCTACACCACACACACAAGCACTCCTTTACTAAAGACACTTCACAGTGGGAAGGTTCTTAGTGTCCGTTACCATCTGACACATGCACAGCATTTTACAAAGCATTGGTGTATTTGCAATCCCTTGTGAGATTTAAACAACCCTGCTAGAGAAAAGTGAGGCGGACATTTTATTTCAGCAAATGTTGATGAAGCGTCTACTCTGTGCCAGCCACAAGCACAAGAAGTCTCAGTTCTTGGGAGTGCCATAGTCAGCAACGGACAAACAACGATCAGATCTGGCTTTGCGCCAGTGTCACGGGTAGAGAGAGGAAGGAAGGGTAGGCGTGGGGGTCAGGACAGGACGCGGAGGAGCTGGTACTTAGGTGAGCGAAGGATGGGTAGGCGTTCACAAGACAGACAAAAAGCAGAACAGTGCTCCAGGCAGAGGAGCAGCTCAGGAGAGGGCCCAGACGGCAGGCTTCCTGGGAACCTGGAATGCAGAGTGCTGGGAAAGCACAGATGGCACATGAGTCTAGAAGGGAAAGTGAGAGGTTATAAAGCACGTGGAACACCAGCCCACAGGGTTTGACTTTAGAGATGATGGGGAGCTGTTGAAGGTCCAGGAGTCAGGCAGTGAAGTGATTAGATCTGTTTGAGAGTGATATCTGACAACTGCCCCATTTTAAGATAAGGTAACCAAGGCCCAGGGAAGTTGGGTGAGTTGTCCAAAGCCACACAGCTAACTAACTTCAGTCCCTAGATCAAAGTTGATAGAACTCTAATGGATTTTATACTCATTGTCACCCCTCCCCGCCATACCTGTCCCTACCCTCTACTCTCCTTCTCTCCCTTCTGCCCAGGATGACCCCTTCTCAGCTCTGGATATCCATCTGAGTGACCACTTGATGCAGGCTGGCATCCTTGAGCTTCTCCGGGACGACAAGAGGACAGTAGTCCTAGTGACCCACAAGCTGCAGTACCTGCCCCATGCAGACTGGGTGAGGGGGAACAAAGGGGTCACGCTACAGGGGCCAGGGCTGGGGAGGCTGTCAAGCATCTTGGCAGGAACCAATCAGTTGTCTTGGTAGCAATTGCTGAGGGCCACAAACATAAGAGGCCAGCACTGGATGACTTTATGCATGCTGGGCATCTCAGGGAGACCCTGTACAGGCCAGGGGTTTGGTGTCACCCAGACCCACAGGCACTCCCCATCCTGGCCTGGGCCCCGGTGATACACTCAAGGCTGGCACCAAGAAGTCTCAGGAATAATCACACGCTCACTTCTTACCTTCTGATTCCTGCCCTTTTGATGACCCATCCCCCTGGCCACTGGGAGTGCCCATTTGGATGGAAAAGCCATCTTCCCATCCTATGACCTTCCCGGGGTGGATGGATGCACCACCCCGGGAATCATATGGGAAATATGGAACCAAGCAATAGCAGTAGTAATAGAAACTTCAGGCTGGGTGCAGTGGCTCACACCTGTAATCCCAGCACTTTGGGAGGCCAAGGCAAGAGGTTCACTTGAGCCCAGGAGTTTAAGGCTGTGGTGAACCATGATCACGCCACTGCACTCCACTCCAGCCTGGGCGACGGAGTGAGACCTTGTCTCTGAAAACTTGAAAAAAAAAAAAAAAGAAAGAAAGAAAGAAGAAAGAGAAAAAAAGAAAGGAAGGAAGGAAGGAAGGAAGAAAGGGAAGGAAGGAAGGAAGGAAGGAAGGAAGGAAGGAAGGAAGGAAGGAAGGAAGGAAGGAAGGAAGGAAGGAAGGAAGGAAGGAAAGAAAGAAACTTTAATATTATCAATAGAGTCCAATGTTGTAAAACCCCTCATTAACTAAATTCCCATACTCATCAGTAGGTAGAAAATACTTACTTTTTGGTTTATTAGAAAGCATTTAATTTTTAAGAGGGAGCTCATGTGACTTTTGAAATCTAGGTCCTGCCTACACCTATATAAATTTTCCTCTGAACAATAGCCAAAATTGAGGCCCTCTCTGAGCTTGACCTGTGCCGAATGGCTCTGCTTATTTTCCCCAAGATAAATCTTCCTTCCACATATAATGAGACCCCTCCAGCATAAAAAAGAACCAAAATCACCCAAAGAAAAAAGACCCAAAGAAAAGACCCAAAGACCCAAAGATTTAAATATATATATAGATACAGAAGGTTTGCTTCTGAGTTTCTGTAGTGACCGTAGCAATACCTTGTAGTTCAGGACAATCCTGAGGAATACAGAAGTGCTAGGTTCCTTGAGGAACCAGTGACCAGGACTCTTGAGCCCCTTGAATCCCAGCATAGGGTGGGAGGGGGTGAGGGCAGCAAGGGTAGGTGTCTGAATTAATGGCAGGTCTACATGGTGGTGTCATCGAGTGTTCCAAATAAAAAGTTTTATTGAGCCAGGTGCAGTGGCTCATGCCTGTAATTCCAGCACCTTGTGAGGCCAAGGTGGGTGGATTGCTTGAGCCCAGGAGTTCGAGATCAGCCTGGCATAACATGGTAAAACCCCGTCCCTACAAAAAAAAAATCAAAAAATTAGCCAGGTATGGTGGCGTGCACCTGTGGTCCCAGCTACTCAGGAAGCTGAGACAGGAGGATGGCTTGAGCCAGGAAGCAGAGATTACAGTGAGCTGAGATGGTGTCACTGCACCCCAACCCAGGCAACAGAGTGAGACCCTGTCTAAAACAAAAACAAAAACAAAAACAAACAAACAAAAAGATTTATTGATTCCAAAGAGGCATGGCCACACACACTTAGACCAGCAGGTGCTTTGCTGAGCCCTGATGGAGGCTGCCAGACCCACGGTCAAGAGGAGCTAAGGGTAGTGTACAATGAGCCTGCATAGTGTATGACAGCTGCTGCCATGGGTGGAGTCCTTGTGGGTAACAAGCCTGCCTGAGCAGGATGCACTAATTTGCTCTGCAAACCCAGCCATTGAGAATTGCCCCTCAGATGTACCGAACTCTAGGTCCTAGGAGTATGTTGGTGGGTCTAGGTTATCAATACCAGCCCACTTGAGTGGATGAGCTGGAGGCCATTTGTAGTGAGGAAAGGGATGTGTCCACCTCCACCTCAGACTCCACATTTGAGGGATGTGACCACCATTCCTCCCCAGCCAGCCCCCAAACTAGGTTTGTTTCTGCCTTTCCAGATCATTGCCATGAAGGATGGCACCATCCAGAGGGAGGGTACCCTCAAGGACTTCCAGAGGTCTGAGTGCCAGCTCTTTGAGCACTGGAAGACCCTCATGAACCGGCAGGACCAAGAGCTGGAGAAGGTGGGTATATCCAGGGGTAGCCAAGCAGCCACCCCTGGATGCGAAGGTTCTGCTAGAACCTGAACTCATAAAGGTCTTCCTGTCCTTACTGCCCCAGGAAGCCCCCTAAAGGGCAGATGTGGGAGCTGGGCATGAACTTGCTCCTACCAGAGAAGAGACAGTACCTGTGCCAGGCACCTAGGGCAGAATCAGGTGGGCACCTTTGCCTTATCCTGAGATAGTCAGATACTATTTAGTTGCCAAGTTTCAGAAAATCAACTCAAACTGGCAAAGAAAACTAAGCAAAGAAAACAAGAGGGAGTTAAGGATTTTTTGACCCATGAAACCAAAAAGTCCAGGTGTGTCATAGCTTTAAGTGTGCTGGAGCCAGGTCGTCAGTGTCATCAGAAATCTGTTTCTCCCACCTCTTGACTCTGCTGCCCTCAAACTGGCTCCATTCTCATGGTATCAGTGAGGGCCAGCAGCAGTCTTAGGTTTACATTCTCCCAGCTCAACAACTCTGCCAGAAAAAAAGCGCCTCTTTCACCATAGTTCAGCAAAAGTTCCAGGGCTGAGTCTCATTTGTCCAGTTTGCTCATGTGCCCACCCCTGAACAAATCACTGTGGCCAGGGATGTGGAATATGAGGATTGGCCTGTCCTGAGTCATGTGCCCACTTTGGGAGCCAGACCCACCTGAATCACAGAGACTAAAAATAGGGGAAGAGTGGTTCCCCACAGGGATATGGGGGTGCTATTATCTCATGAAGGGGAAGGACTAAATCCTGGCAAGATGAATGTGTGTCTGTCTGCTCCTCCCTCAGGCAGGGACAATGTGGAAACCTGACATTGGTCATCACTAGGGCAGTTATCCCTTAACTTCCCCTTCCCCCACCAACCATATACCCTGAAGGCATTGGCCAGGCCACATCTGTCTTATAGGAGACTGTCACAGAGAGAAAAGCCACAGAGCCACCCCAGGGTCTATCTCGTACCATGTCCTCGAGGGATGGCCTTCTGCAGGATGAGGAAGAGGAGGAAGGTACAGGCGATGGGACTGGGAGTGAAATTATGGCTTGAGGTCTGATCAGCCACAGAGAGGCTAAGGTTTGGAGTTCTGGGTGTGGTGCAGTAGTGTGCCTTTGATTAAGTGGCTTCCCTCTGTGTGCCTCCGTTGTCCCCTCTGTAAGTGGGGATAAAATGCCCCCTGATTCACCCTCAGAGGGATGGAAATGTGTAGCCACAGACTGGGTTCTTGCGGCCTGCAGAGGAGGCAGCTGAGAGCGATGAGGACGACAACTTGTCGTCTGTGCTGCACCAGCGTGCCGAGATCCCATGGCGAGCCTGCGCAAAGTACCTGTCCTCTGCCGGCATCCTGCTCCTGTCGCTGCTGGTCTTCTCACAGCTGCTCAAGCACATGGTCCTGGTAGCCATTGACTACTGGCTGGCCAAGTGGACCGACAGCGCCCTGACCCTGACCCCTGCAGCCAGGAACTGCTCCCTCAGCCAGGTGTGACCGGTGGCCCATGGCAGAGGCTGAGAGTGGGGGTGGGGGAAGGGCTGAGCCCATGGGCACCCCAGAACCCCAGCTCACTCTCTGCCTGTGAAGGAGTGCTCCCTCGACCAGACTGTCTACGCCATGGTGTTCACGGTGCTCTGCAGCCTGGGCATCGTGCTGTGCCTCGTCACGTCTGTCACTGTGGAGTGGACAGGGCTGAAGGTGGCCAAGAGGCTGCACCGCAGCCTGCTGAACCGGATCATCCTAGCCCCTATGAGGTACCCCTCTCCCCTGGCCAGGCTGAGGATGTGAGCAAGTCACTGTTCTCTGAGCCTTAGTCTTCCCATCTATAAAATGGGGATATACAACCTCTGTCACAAGCTTGTGGAGGTGACTCAAGGAGACAGTGTGTGTAAAAGTGCCCTCCTTGTGCAAGAAGCAGGGAGAAACTGGCATTTACTCAGCCAGATACTGTGATAGGCATTGTGTGTGGTTAGCTCATCTAATTGTCACCATGGCCCTTTAAAGAGAGCGTCTGCACATCCAGGTAAAGATTGGTTTCTTCTCCCTAAGCAGGTGTAATTTGCCCATCCCCACCCATGAGTTCAGCTCCCTACCCTCCCCTCCCTCTCTCTCCTTCAGCCAGCCTCAGGTTTTCACACTGGGGGAACAGGTAGCTGTTCTATTAATAATTTCCTGTAATGGGATGGATAAAAATCTCCAAGTCCACTGGATGTCAAAGAGGTTTAAAGTTGTCACTGCCCAACTGGTTGGCCAACTTGGTTTAAAAACACAACAGGCCAACAGGTTTTCTGGCCCCTTGTCAAGGCTAGACCTCACTGTCTAACTGCACTTTTCACTTTCCAGCCTCATGAGTTTTCCGTGGCCCACAGATATGGCCGCCGAGTTTATTGACTCTGTTTGCCCCAGCTCTGTAATTCTGAAACTCCCTGGTTGGGGTTGGGCTGACTCTGGGTCAGCCAGCCAGCAGGCTGTCCCCAGGGCCCTGTTCCCCTTGGCAGGTTGTCCCTCTGGAGAGGACTCTGTGTCCCAGGAGGACAGCTGCTGAGTCAGGCCGAGCCGGCAGCTGAGAAAAGCGGCAGTGGTCAGATGGGCTTGAGAACCTGAGAGGCTAATGAAAGGCCAGCGCCCCTTTGGGCAGCTGCAGGAATTCACGGGGATACAGGCCAGATATCTACAGATTGGCAGAGGACGCCAGGCCAGACCCATGAATGACTCCAAAGACACTTACATGAAATAAGTAACTATCTCATTCAGTAAACAGGAAGTAAATCAATGGACGAATGAGTAACTCTTCCTCTGACTGCCTCTTAGGTTTTTTGAGACCACGCCCCTTGGGAGCATCCTGAACAGATTTTCATCCGACTGTAACACCATCGACCAGGTACAGAGGACGGTGCCACACTTTCTCCCTGTCCAGAGACACCCCAGACCCCTGGGGGCTTCTCCTGTCTGAGGCTGGGTTCCCCAGATCAGATGATCACAGCCCTCCAGAAGGAAGCCAGTGTCCCTGATCTGATTATAATGCTGCCTCAGGGCTGGGGCCTCCCCGGTGGGAGCCTCATAATAAGACTGAGGGAAACCAGATCCTTTTATCTTCCACCAGAGATCCCACTGGCTCTCTCTAGTAAAGTTCCAGCATATTCTGAACCAAGGTCGCTGACTGTATGGAGAATATTCATTTTTGATTCAGCCTGAGTTCTTTACTTACCATCGTACTAGATGGTGTGAAAACAAAATCTTGATTCCTGCCTCAGGGAGTCTACCTTGTAGCTGGAAAGATAAGATGTGTGCCTATAATAAAGTGAGAGCAAGTCCGGGCTCAGTGCCTCACTCCTGTAACCCCAACACTTTGGTAGGCGGAGGCAGGCGGATCACTTGAGGCCAGGTGTTCAAGACCAGCCTGGCCAACATGATGAAATCTCTTCTCTACTAAAAATACAAAAATATTAGTCAGGTGTGTTGGCAGGCGCCTATAATCCCAACTACTTGGGAAGCTGTGCAAGGAGAATCATTTGAACCCGAGAGGCAGAGGCTGCAGTGAGCTGAGATTACGCTGCTACATCTAGTCTGGGCAACAGTGAGACTCGGTCTCAGAAAAATAAAGGATCAAAAAATAAAGTGAGAGCAAAACATGGCGGCCGGTAGCACTCTAAACACAGTTAATACCAAAACTCACCTCACTCTCTCCTCCTTGTCTCCCTCAGCACATCCCATCCACACTGGAGTGCCTGAGTCGCTCCACCCTGCTCTGTGTCTCAGCCCTGGCCGTCATCTCCTATGTCACACCTGTGTTCCTCGTGGCCCTCTTGCCCCTGGCCGTCGTGTGCTACTTCATCCAGAAGTACTTCCGGGTGGCGTCCAGGTGATGGCCTCAGGGGTGATGGGTGGGAGGTGCTTTGCAATGTGCAGTTTGCTAGACTCATCGTTATAAAAGTAGTAGGGTCATGTTCCCTCCAAAAAAAAAAAAAGCAAAAGACAGAAATGAAAGAAATAGAAATATCCACATTTTATTCCACTACCCTAGTATAATAGTCTGCCAACACACTCACACACTGAGGTTGACATCTGAATTATTTCCTTGGGAGATATGGTCAGGACTGAAATTGCTAGGTCATGACAAATGCACATTTTATGCCCTTCATTCATTTTGCCAACGTGCTTCCCAGGAGGGTTGCATCATTCTAGTGGTCAGGCTGATTGCCAGTGCATGAAATCGGAGGGCACCTGACTGAAGCACTGTTACGATAACATCTCCCAGCACATGTGAGTCCAGAGTGTAGCTGTAAGCCTTGACTTGAGGGAGCCTCTCACAGCCATTCTCATGGATCGCATTTGCCCTCATGAGCTTTGGGTCCATTCACACGTCTTTCCTCATTAAAATTTTCTAAGAATGTTCTCTAGGGAGTTCTTTCTGAGAGTGATTCTGCTAAAGTCATAGATTCAAAGAATTGTGGGAAAAAAAGAACCTCTAGGCCAGTGTTTCTCAAACTGCCAATTACAACCCATCAGTGGGTCATGAAATCAGTATCATGGATCACAACCAGCATTTTTTAAAAAATGAAATAGAACAGAAAATATCAGACTGTATTCATAGAGTAACAGCAAACTTTGCCTCATGAAACCTTTGTTTTGGTCATGTAGGTGTGTAAGTACTGACTTGTGAGATAAAATTTATTTTTGACTGCAGGTTGTGGTCAGAAAGGTTAAGTACCTTTCCCAAGGGCACATAGTTGGCTAGAAACTAGAGTCGAGACACTTATTAGCAATAATAAATAATAAAATTTAGATGCATTTTGGCCACAATTACCTGTCCCAAAGGATCAACATTTGTATAAATGGCTTTTTGCTTGGATGATCCAGAATGGCCTGACACCCACACGAGCAACATAGCTTGTTGACACTCATAAAATTACAGTGGCTTTCAAAGTGCTGCACAAGCTGTTCTACAAAGTTCATTTCTTCTGCCAGAGAAATAGCCCTGTCTCTCTGACACCCACTCTGACCCTGGAGACGGTTTATCAGGGAAATCAACTTCCTGCATCCCAAATTGGCCTCCCTGTCACTGATGTGCTTGTCAAAGTGCAGCTTTGGGGAGCAGGAGGCAATTCTGCTGCCATAGAAACCTCTGGCCTTACCCCAAGATGAAACCTATCATTTCATCACATCACTGGCCAGGGTCCAAAGAGCTCCTTGATGGGGTAAGTGGAAGACGGGGTTGAATGCTTTGAGTTTGGTCTTCTGTTCCTTTGGCCAGCTGTCTCAAGGTGCAGCTTGTTCACCTGTAAAATGGAACTAACACTGCCTGCCCAGCCTTAGCTCAGCTCGAGGCTGTGCACAGAAGTACAGGGACAGATGGACACCTGGGGTGGACAATACTCAGGAAAGCAGTAACTATGCCCCACTTCAGGCTGTGTGTAAGCATTGTACATAAACGATCTCATTCAGTGCTCACAACAGCTTGATGGGCTGGAGTCACTGTCGTCCCCCTTCATGGGTAAGAAGCTAAGGCCTGGAGAGGTGAGGCCGTTCATCCACACAGCAGTAGCAGGTGGAGCTAGGCTTCAAGTCCAGGCCGAGCCCTGAGCCTGCCCTCTTAACTATTCCACTCTGTTCCCCACCATAGGGACCTGCAGCAGCTGGATGACACCACCCAGCTTCCACTGCTCTCGCACTTTGCTGAAACCGTGGAAGGGCTCACCACCATTCGGGCCTTCAGGTATGAGTCCACATTCCCCCAAGGTAGGAGTGGAACAGGGGTGGGGCCAGGGGCACAGGCCATGAGATTTGATTCTCAGGGCTCCACTTAGGAAGGCCAAGGACACGTCTCTCTCAAGCCACCTCAGGCCCCAAGGCCCAAGGGATATCCACCAGCAGGGACAGGCCAGGTGGGCTCCCACTGAATGTTCTAGAGAGGAAAATTCCAGCTCTGTAGACAAGCCCAGGGCCTCTATGAGGCAGAGCATGAAAAAAAAACAAAGCTGGGACAAGTCTTCATGTATCAGTGCTAGAAAGGGCCTTAGGTGCAGGCCACCATGAGCCCTTCTTTTATTAAGGAGCTCCTGTGTGCAAAACACTACGTTCAATACTGTACAGGCCAATCCCACTCATTCTGCACTGCAACCCTCGGTGCTGAGAATGGTCATTTCCACTGCACAGATAAGGAAACTGAGGTGCAGAGATGTTCTATACCCGTTCTGTGTCAGGTACCACAAAGCCCGGACTTGAACGTATTTGCTCATGCAACTAACATTTACTGAGCCCCGACCATGTGCAAAGCCCCATGCCAGGCACTAAAAAGATGAGTCAAATGAGCCACTGCCCTGCAGGCATTTACAGCCCAGACTTTGGGCAGGCCAGGATAAACCCATGTGACAAGTACTCTGAAAAAAGGGGATTCAAGGGCTGTGGGAGCATAGAAGAGAGACAGTCAGGGAAGGTTTTTGTAGAGGAGGTGTCATCAGAACTAAGACTCAAAGGAGGGGCAGGAGTTCACCAGGCTGGAGGAATTCCTGAAAACTTCAGTGCCCCTACCATCCTCTCGCTATCCTGAGTGGTGATGTTGAGGTGGACAGGAGCATCTGAGGCTGCCTGGCAAGTGGAGGAAACTGTTGTTCCCCACTCCCCAAGGGTCTGTCTGATCTCCTGGGTCATCTCTCTTCCAGTGAGGCAGGCCAGAGACCCCTGACACACATAGTTGGGCTCTTTTCTCATCTTCACCCAGAGAGTGATAATAGGTTATTTTTAGGGTGGCACAGCTGCACGAAGTGTGACAGTAACCATGAGACATCAAGCCCTGTGTCCAGGAGTAACCCTAGGGCACAGGGGCCAGCCAAGGGCCCAGAGAGGCTTACATCTCCTCCCCCAACCCCTGAAGTCCAGCTTCAGCCCTGGAGAGGTACCCAGGCCCCTCTGCCCACTCCCTGAAGCACCTAGGGCCAGTGGAAAGCCACCTCTTAGGGATCTTGTCTAGGTAAAGAAGAGCAGAACAAAGCTCTGCCCTGGCCTTGGCGCTGCTCCCTGGACATCCCTCGCCCCTGGACAAGACCATGCTGTGTCTTCCACAAAGAAGCTCCCTGGGGACTGGATTATGACTCTATAGTCTCCTCCCAGTCTCCTCTTCTCAAGCCCGAACTTCTCCCATTCCTTCACTTCCAGGTCCCTCCACATTACTGAGCCTAGCCTTTGCTCTAAGTTTTGATGATTTCCCTCTCTAAATTGGTGTCTCAGAGGGCCCTGGGGTAGAGAGATGGTGACTCTTCTAAAGTGGACCAGATCCCCTTGTATGCAGATCCCAGCTTCCAGTAAGCAGCCTCCTATCGGGCCACACCTGTGGTCAGCCAGAGCCACTGCTACCCAGTGAGGTCTTCCACACCCTACTGACACGGTGAATGATTTTTAAATTTGAATGAAAGGCTTTTTAATCAACCCTGTACATGTTTAATGCATTGGCTTTAACCCAGCAGCCTGTTGAGAGCTATTGCCATTTATTGATTGCCCACTTACTGCGTGCCAGGCACCGTGCTAAGTGTTGTATGTGCATTATTACATTTAATCCTCACAAGAACTGCATAACATTGGTACGAGTCACCACATTCTTCAGACGCAGAAACAAGACCCAGAGAGGCTGGGTAATCAAACGAAGGTCACACAGACTGCGGGGGCTGGCGCTGAGCTTGGAACTCAGGTTTGCCTGACCTTCTGGGCTTTCCTAAGAGACCTCATTTTTTCCCAGAAGAGTTTCAAGAGTGCCCAGCACTGGGCTCAGTGGTGGGCTCGGAGGTTATTTTCGTTCATATAGGAACTTTCACTTCCCCATTTTATTCATGAGAAAACTGAGTCTCAATCCTGACACATAGCCAGGAAGTTGGACATTCAGGCTCCAACCTGGGTTTACATGGCTGCGAGCTGGGGCTCTTTTCCAGTCCTCAGACACACTGTCGAATGCCTGTGGCAGAAGCTCCCATCTCATACTTGCCAACCCTCAACTCACACAGTCCTGAGACCCACATATGCTGAAGTGCCTCACACTCCTATAACGTGCACGTGCCCTGATGCACACACATCTTCAACGCGCACTTACTCGAACCCTTCAGGCATGGTTTCACACTCGCCTCAGACACGTCACCCTCCCACACATCTCCACCCTGGAGGTATGCAGGAGCAATGCTCTCTCCCACCGCAGAGCCTCCCTTCACTCCCCTCAGACACATGCCCTCTCTCCACCCAGAGACAATCAAAGCTGAACAAACACCTTCCAGGAGTGAAAAGCAAATGCCCAGTGAGATACGTCTTGGGTGCCTTTGTGTCCCCTAAGTTTGGTCCTATCAAACCAGCGATGATGAGACCGTTTTTCTTTCGTTCCTTCCTCCATCATCAAACAAGTGCTCCTGCATCTCCTATGTCAGCAGGGCCTGAGGGAAGCAGCCAAGGAGAGTGATGACTGCAGCCCAGGCTGGTCAGAGGGAGGAGGCAGGTCCGTGCGCAGCAACTCAGGGAAAACATGATGAGGACCCAAGGATGAGAAAGAAGCCTCCAGAGTTCCCTGTACAGAGAGATTTCATCTATTTCAGAGGGTCGGGGGAGTGTCATGCATTCATCCAACAAATATTTATTGATAGTGCCAGGCGCTGGGATACATTGGTGAATCAAATAGACATGGCCTCCATCTTCCTGGAATTTATAGTCTATTGAGGGAGATGATTATAAACAGCTAGAGAAATGCATGTACAACAGATACTGTGGAGCAAACAGGTTGCAGAGAATAATAGAGGAAACCTACTTTATAGTAAGGTAGTGGCCAGGAAGAGCCTCTCTGAGGAGGCAGCATTTAAGGTAAGGCCTGAAGCTTGAGTTGAGCCAGCCTTATGAAGAGCAAGGGCGAAAGCCTTCCAGGCAAAGGGAATAGTGTATGCAAAGGCCCTGGGGTAGGGAAGACTTTAGTATTGTCACAGAGTTTTTAAAAGGCTGACTGGGTGCAGCATAGTGTGTGGGGTGTTTGTGGCAGGAATTAGGTTGGCAGGAGGGGGTTCTTCATCCTATAAGCAGTGGGAGGTCATTAATTTTTTTTTTTTTTTTGAGGCAGAGTCTCACTCTGTCACCCAGGCTGGAGTGCAGTGGGGTGATCTCGGCTCACTGCAACCTCCACCTCCTGGGTTCAAGCAATTATCCTGCCTCAGCCTCCCAAGTAGCTGGGATTACAGGTGTGCACCACCATACTCAGCTAATTTTTGTATTATTACTAGAGACAGAGTTTCACCATGTTGGCCAGGCTGGTCTTGAACACTTGACCTCAGGTGATCCGCCCGCCTCAACCTCCCAAAGGGCTGGTATTACAGGGGTGAGCCACCGCGTCTGGCTGGAGGTCATTAATATTCTAAGCAGTGGGGAGAGGACACGGTTTGTGATTTACATAGATTAAGCCAGCCACTGTGTGGAGCGTGAACTGTAGGGAGACAGCAGGTAGACGTATTCAGGAAGCTCATGCAGTAGTCCAGGTGAGAGTTTGTGGTGGGCGGGAAGCAGGATAGAGGGGGAGGGAGGCAAGGACTCTTTTGGAGATAGACATAAGAGGACTTGCCAAGGGGCTGAATGTGAATCCAGGTGATTCCTGGGTGAGAAACCAGGTAAAGGGAGGTGCTCCTTATTATAACGGGAAAGACCTAGAGAAAATGGGTCTTGGGGTGAAAACAAGAGTTTGGAGGAGGTAGGGACTCTGGACAGGTTTGAATAAGCAGAAAGGAGCAGGGCGGACATTCCAGAGGGGATGAAGTGGCCACGGTGGCATGTCTGGGGACTGGAGAGGCCCTGGTGTCTCCCTCTGCAGGTAGGGAGACTCCTAGGAGCTATGTGGACCAACACTGTTCCCTTAGGAGTTTCTCATTCTCCCTCCAGGTACGAGGCCCGGTTCCAGCAGAAGCTTCTCGAATACACAGACTCCAACAACATTGCTTCCCTCTTCCTCACGGCTGCCAACAGATGGCTGGAAGTCCGAATGGCAAGTGCTATTCCCCCCTACCCTGGCCCCCGCAGAGGGCTTCTGATAGCAGGATGGGGCCAGAGCAAGAGCACACAGGGACCCGGGGATGAAAGAGAGGATAGGATACCAGATCGTGTGGACACCAAGCCTTCCTGCTTCCTCCAGCCCTGGTGGTCCTCCTAGTGTCTAGCCTGCGCTCCTTTTCCCCATATCACTGCCTGGAGGCTTGTGTATCTGAGGTGTGTGCCAGTGGCTAGAATAATTGTGAATGTGTATCTGCAATGGGTCATATGACACCCACGTTGTGTGTGTGTGTGGGCCAGCTGAGGTGTGTGTGTTAAAGGGTGTGCAGGGGCTGGGGGGTGGGGAAGCATGAGCTTGTGGGACATGTTGGCTCCTGGGGCTCCAGTCTTTGCAGCCCTTGTGTGTGTCTGATGATGTGTGCGTGAGTTGCAGGGTTGGGGTGGAGGTCTTGCTGAGCTGCTCTCTGCTCCAAAAGGGAGTGAGGTGGAACAAGGGCCTGTGACTCCAACCCCCAAATGCCCAGGCCAGCTCCTCTCCCTCCGCAGGAGTACATCGGTGCATGTGTGGTGCTCATCGCGGCCGTGACCTCCATCTCCAACTCCCTGCACCGGGAGCTCTCTGCTGGCCTGGTGGGCCTGGGCCTCACCTATGCCCTAATGGTGAGCGGCAGTGGGCTAGGGCAGAGGAGGGGTCAGACGCCAGCACTCCTGGAGCATCTTCCCCACTGGAGACATGAGACACCCCCAGGCCTTACCCCAAGCTCATTTGCATCTGATGCCAGAGGGACAGTGGGCAGGAAGGCTGACCGGCCAGCCCCAGGCCCCAGACAGGTGGAGGGTGGGGAGCCACATGACTGACTCTCTCCATGCCTCCAGGGAGTGCTGCTCTGAGCAGGCAGCTGATGGCAGCAAAAGGAATCTGGGGCCCTGGCCCCTCTCCAGCCTTAAGAAGAGCCATCCTGGTGGCTGAGGACAGAACTAAGTGACCACAGAGTATGTGCCACTGGCTTGCTCCCCACAGGTTTCCAACTACCTCAACTGGATGGTGAGGAACCTGGCAGACATGGAGCTCCAGCTGGGTGCCGTGAAGCGCATCCACGGGCTCCTGAAAACTGAGGCAGAGAGCTACGAGGGGCTCCTGGGTGAGGGGCTCAGGGAGAGGGGTGGGGAAGAGCCCAAGGAGGAGTGTATCTGGGTTGGGGACCACAAGAGAGCCTGGGGATGGGGTGGCACTTTCGGATACTAGCTGTGGCCCACGCTTGGTGGCTGAGCCCAGCCTGGCCCCCAGCACCATCGCTGATCCCAAAGAACTGGCCAGACCAAGGGAAGATCCAGATCCAGAACCTGAGCGTGCGCTACGACAGCTCCCTGAAGCCAGTGCTAAAGCACGTCAACGCCCTCATCTCCCCAGGACAGAAGGTCAGAGCGCGGGCCCAACCCAATGCTGCAGGACAGGCGTGAACGGGGGATGGGGCATGCACGGAGCTGGACGGCTTCGCAGTCACCTCATGGTCTTCCAGGGCCAAGGCCTCTCACTATTCAGACATCGCAGTCTCCTGCCCTGGGCCTGTGGGGGCCCATCTTTCCTCTCCCTCTATTCCCTTCCCCCAGTGTTGCCCTCAGACCTTGTCTCCTCACTCATCCACCAAGGAGACGACGCTCTGGACTCCCCCGGCTCGCACAGTCTTTGTCAGGACCTCCCTCTCTGCGACTGGTCAGGGGCTTTCCCTAGGGCACTGCCCCTGACCTTCAGGGCAGAGACCTGGGGGCAGACAGCGAGGCCGCCCTTGTACTGGGGGAGAGCCCCTGCCTATGGCCCTGGCCCAGTTCTCCTCTCATTTCCCCCTCTGTCTCTGTCTCACTTTGCTGTGACCGTCCATGTCATTCTCTGACCTTGGGATGTACCTCTGTCCCTGCCTCTCTCATCCTTCTGTGTCACTATCTCTGTCTCCGTATTGTAATTTATGTTGGTACCCAAGGGCCAGGAAGCAATGGGATCAGAGGTGGCCCCAGTGTAAGGCGGTGCACACAGACGCATCCCTGCATACCACTCTCAGCTGCCCCGTGTCCTCCTGCCACACTCACACCCATAGAGACACACCAGTGCCCCCAGCTCTCCTGCAGCCAAGTACCCAGCACACCCAGACCCACACCAAGGCCCAGGCAAATGGACATCCATGCCCGTACTTGCGTGCCGGTCCCGTGTGAGCCCTCTCTGGACCCACTGCAGGAAACAAGCCCAAACCTGTGGTGTCCAAAGAAAAGCTGGTTAGAAAACCAGGACAAAAAGAAACCCTGTGACCTCCCACACCCGCATACACACCCAGAGCTAGCACTAGAGGCTACTCCCAGCAGCCCCAGACCCCCAGCGGCGGTGCCTGCTTCTGTTTCCAGATTGGGATCTGCGGCCGCACAGGCAGTGGGAAGTCCTCCTTCTCTCTTGCCTTCTTCCGCATGGTGGACATGTTCGAAGGTGAGTTGTAAGGCGGGCACCCCATGTGTACCCACAGCCACCAGATGAGGCCTCAGCCCTGGCACATGGTCAGACATGACAGGAGGCCCAGCAGTCACCGCCTTCCCCTGCACCCTCATTGGGACCCACACAGGGCGCATCATCATTGATGGCATTGATATCGCCAAACTGCCACTGCACACCCTGCGCTCACGCCTCTCCATCATCCTGCAGGACCCGGTCCTCTTCAGCGGCACCATCCGGTGAGCCCCACCACCCTTCAGGCCCACCCAGCCCAGGCCAGCTTAGTTCCATCAGATCTGGAGCACAAAGAGGAGGGGGCTGGGGGAGACCAGGATCCCAGAGGCGTTTCCTGCTCTTGCCCTTCTCCATCCCATCAGGCCCAGGCAGGCTCTGGAAGGGGATCCCCCACCCATGGATCTAAGATGCTGTCCCCCACCTACTGCCACCACCTCAGTGTTTCTCCCAGCCAGACCTCCAACTCAGTCCACTCTCACTCACTGCCCTCTTTGCCTCCTGGGGATGCAGGCAGGACCCTGCTCCCTCCCTACTGGGGCTTTCTGTGCCACTTCCAGATTTAACCTGGACCCGGAGAGGAAGTGCTCAGACAGCACACTGTGGGAGGCCCTGGAAATTGCCCAGCTGAAGCTGGTGGTGAAGGCCCTACCAGGAGGCCTTGGTAACTACTCCTGGCTGTGCAGCCGGGTTGGTTGGGCACCCGAGGACCCTGTAAGGAAGGGAGACGGAAGCCCGTGTCTCAGGTTTGCCCCAAGTTTGAAGTCTGAAGCCCAGCAGGACCATTTAGACCTACTTCTCACTATTCAGCGGCCCAGAGACGTCAGGTGTCTTGCCCCAGGTCACACAACTGGTCAGTTCAGGGTCTGGCTCCTCCTGCAGGGCACAGTGGGTACAGTCAGGGATCCTTGTGAGACAGAGGTTGCAAGTTCCCCATGCCACGGCGGCATCTTCAGCCCTGCCCTGCCCCATCCACCTGCCTGCCCAGTTCTGCCTTAGGGGAGGAGAAGAGGGACTGGGCAATCATAGACACAGGTCACTCATCAAGTCCACTGGTGATTGGCAAAGCCTTGGTATATTTGCTGCAGCTCCTGGAGCACTGGGGGTGGCTAAGCCTTGGTTTCAGTGAATCACCCTACCAAGGCCCACACTAAATACACACTCAGTGCAGCACTCAGTGCCCACGCCCCCTCCCAGAACTGCCCAGGGCCACAGCAGCACACATCTCCAAGGGTGCCCTTCTCGTTGCAGTCCCTGCAGACGGCCTCCACATTGTTGTGTCAGGTACACCAGCCCTGCACACGCCTGTGCTCTCAGACACACACCCACCTATTTGCCCTCATACACACATTTTCCAACAGCCCCCCAAGCCATCCCATCTGCTCCACTCACAGCACAAGATTAACTCAGTCCTACTTCCTCTCCCCGGGCTGTTTTCAGATGCCATCATCACAGAAGGCGGGGAGAATTTCAGCCAGGGACAGAGGCAGCTGTTCTGCCTGGCTCGGGCCTTCGTGAGGAAGACCAGCATCTTCATCATGGACGAAGCCACAGCTTCCATTGACATGGCCACGGTTGGTCCTGGGCACCTCCATGGGACGGTGGCCTTAGAGAGGGTTTAGTGGGATGCTAGGCAGAAATTTGCACAAAGTAGCCCTGAGGCTCAAGTTGCTTTTAACATCAAATGCTATGTGTCGCAGAAAGTGAAAAGAGCTGGGGGACCCTGACTCTGTCTAGCCTTAGGGAATGTTACACACACACGCACACACACACAAAAACACTACGCAAACACAAACATAAGCTGCCCACAGACCCACACAGACTTCACACTGTCACCTATCACAACACAACCGCACAGCCACAACCACAACCTACATACACACACACAGCTGAGCCCCCAACAGGCTGAGTCCAGTCCCTGAGTGCTGGGAACCTGTTCAGTCCTGTGGGGTGGGGGTGGGACTAGGATCGGGATGAGATGGAAGCTGAACCACAAACCTGGGCTCCACATCCCCCAAGCCAGGCCAGACCCTATCCACTGGGCAGGTGAGCCAACAGCTGTTGCCCCCACTTGGCAGGAAAACATCCTCCAAAAGGTGGTGATGACAGCCTTCGCAGACCGCACCGTGGTCACCATCGCGGTAAGGGGCCCATTGATGGGGTGCAGAGGGACACCCAGGGACAGGACTGGCCTCTTGTGCCTGTCATCAGTGCACTGTTCCTGGGCTTGCCTGGTCCCAGTAATCAAGAAAGGACCCTGAAGCAGGCAGTTCAGGGCCAGGGGTCTGGAGGGCATGCAGGGTGCCTGGGTTGCAGGATTTGGGGCGGGGGGTTTTGCCCCTGTACATCCCTCAGACCTCCCCTCTCCGTCTCCAGGTTCCAAGATCTGCCCCTGTCCCAAGGCCTTGTACATTGGGCTGGGGTTACTTCTCCATAAGAAGTGGGGGAGGGCTTGTGGAGGGTCTCTGAGCCTTGAAGCCTGGAGGTGGGGTAGAGTTGGGACTTGGAGAGGAGAAAAGCGTGGTATTAATGGATGGAGGGCTTGTAGTCACATCCACCCCAGGAAAGTGCAGTCCCCACAGAGACAGGACATTCTGGCCACATTCCTCATCCTCCTCCTCCAAGCTGCAGGAGGGCCACCCTCTGTTGTGGCTCCCAGCGTGGGAGGTGTTCCCACCATCCTGACCCATCCCCTCCTGCCCTGCCCAGCATCGAGTGCACACCATCCTGAGTGCAGACCTGGTGATCGTCCTGAAGCGGGGCGCCATCCTTGAGTTCGATAAGCCAGAGAAGCTGCTCAGCCGGAAGGACAGCGTCTTCGCCTCCTTCGTCCGTGCAGACAAGTGACCTGCCAGAGCCCAAGTGCCATCCCACACTCCGACCCTGCCCATACCCTTGCCTGGGTTTTCTAACTGTAAATCACTTGTAAATAAAGAGATTTGATTCTTTCCTACTAGAGGCCGTGAGTCTGGTGGGCAGGGGCTGGCGGTGGATGGTGGGTTCAGTAGAACCAGCCTGGCTTTGGTATCAGGCAGACCTTCAGAAGCTGTGTGAGCATGGGCAAAAGCCTGCTTCCTTACCTGTGAAATGAGGTCTCTGTTAGCCAGGCTGCCACAGCAACATATCACAGACTGTGTGGCTTTAACAACAGACATTTTTTTCTCACAGTTCTGAGGGCTGAAGCCTGGGATCAAGGTGTTGGCAGGTTTGGTTTCTCCTGAGGCCTGTCTCCTTGGCTTGCAGAGGGCCACCTTCTGGCTGTGTGCTCACATGGCCTTTGCTCTGTGCACATGCATCCCTGCTCTCTCTCTCTGTCTTAAAAGGACACCAGTCATATTGGATTAGGGCCCTACCCCTAAGACCTCATTAAACCTTAATTATCTCCTCATAGGCCCTATTTCCAAATAGTGACATTGTAGGATTAGGCTTCACCCTGTGAATTTGGTGGGATACAATTATGTCCATAGCAAGGGTGATAGCATCTCTGCAATGAGTTTATCAGATAAGTTAACAGATCTCCATACAGCTTGGTCTCCTTTCTTCTCACTTTCATTCTTGAATTAAAATCTGGATTAACACTATTTCAATTGAAAATGGCAGGAACCCAATTCAAAGTCACCTAAGCAGAAACTGAAGTTATTGCAGTATGTGACTGACAAGGCTAAGAGGTATACTACTTCAAGCATGGCTGGATCCAGGTGTTTGACATCCACCCAGGATGCGTCTTCCTTTCTAGGTTCCATTTTCCTCTCCCTCCCTTATGACAGATGGCCACTAGCAGCTCTAGCTTACATCCTGCCCCAAGGCAACCCAAGAGGCAAAACAGATACTCCTTCCCAATAGTTCCAGCAAAAGTCTGGGAGCAAATCTCAATGGATCAACGTGGGTCACATTCCCATCCCTACCCCACTGTGATCAGAGGGGTGGCACACACTGGCTGGCTAGGCCTGGATCATGTCTCCATCTCCATCCCCCAAGCAGGGGCATTCAGAAGTGGAAGGGTAGTCCTTCCAAGGGAAAGCACAGCGCATGAGCCACAGGCCAGCCAGGTGGTGTCTGGGAGACACTGGAGCCCAGACACCAGGGAGACTGAAACAGCAGCTGTCCTGACTTCCTCTGCATCACGAAACAAGGCTGCACATCTGCCCTCAGCCAAGAAATGGCAGGTGCTCATTTGCATCTCATTTTATGATCATTTGCATATCATCTGCAGTACTGGCTGCACCAAGCCCTGGGGTGCAGACCTAAGAGTCTCGAACCTGCATCCCCTTGGCTGCAAGAGGATCAGAGAGGCACAATATAAGAAAAGCCCACCAGTTATTGGAGGTAGGTCCAGTGCAGACCCCTGTGGATGTTCCAGGAGCCAGAGAAGCTCAGAAAGGAAGGGCTCTGTAAAACCTGGCAGGCTGCATGGAAAAGACAAAATTTGAGTTAAACATTGTGGGGGATAGGGATTGGATAGGGAGAAAGTCAGAGAAAGGGCTGGGGTGGCAGGTGGGGACAGCAGGAGGTAAGGAGTGATGGTGGAAGTGTGTTAAGAGTGTTGGTTGATCAGGGAGGTGGGAGAAAGATGAGAGCAGTAGGGAGGGCATCACATCAGAGAGCCCTGAATACCAGGGCAAGGAGTGTGGGGTATGCCCATGGACAAAAAGGGAGAAGGGTTTTGAGCAAGAAAGGGACTTGACAAGTTCAGTGTTTGGTGGAGATGACTATAAGCAAGTGCAGGATGGAGCAAAAGGGGAGGCTGAGCCCTTCAGATAGTGGACTCACCCCCCCAGTAGGGTGAGCAGCAGGGAGGTGAGGCCTCAAGGCTGCACTACAAGGCAGAACCCAACCTTTCTACCTCTGAGATTTCCCCAGGGGCCCAGCAGCTTCCCCCACTGTGAGATCTCCCAGGAGTGGAGCCGGGGAGCAGAAAGAGGGCTCCACATGCCTACCACTACTCCAAATCCATCCCACCCTGATGGATTGAAGGGAAGTAGCGGGGGCAGGGCTGGGCCCACAGTGAAATGTTGCAGGGATGCCCAAGGTCATCCTGGCCCAAAATCCCTCTATAACATCCCTCATGGCCCACCGGCTTGACTTGGGTACCCCACAGATGTGGCTTATCTCTGGTTATTCTTATTAGAACTGACTCTTGCATATGTGAAACCAAACCCTGCCTCTGTTTCACTTAGTGTCCTGGTTCTACCCTTTGGGCCACGAAAAACTACTAGTTTATCCTCCTTCAAAGCCAGGTGTTTCTACAATAGTGCCCAAACCCCCAGGGGACTTTCCTTTTCTGATGGCTGGACAGTTGTAGTTGCCTCAGAGATTCCCCCAGGTAACCCTGTCTCCTTGAGCTTTCCACTCTCCTCATCTCATTTTACCCTCCCCTTCCTAGACACTGTATCTCTGTTAATACAGCCCATGATCACACTCATCCTTTGTAGTGGTGTTTGCTCTGCCTGCTGGTGGGTAGGGAGAGAAAGGAAAATCCAACATAAAATGCATATCCTGCCTCCATTGTGGCCCACACCCACGCTGCCCTCTCCAGCCCCTGTCTCAAGTCCCCACTCCAACAAAATGGCCGCAGATGGTCAGGGGCTCTTCCATAAGGATCTGAGCCGCAGAGAGTGGTAAAGCCGTTACTCTCCCAACAACAGAGATCTAGCAGGCTTTCCTTCCAGCTGAGAACCGGGGTCCATGCCACAGGGCAGCCTCAGGCTGATGCCTGAACAGAAACACCACCATGCCCGGACAAGAGCCTGGGTCCCCCAGTGCCCGAGGCAGCCCTAACACACTGCTCAGGCATACCACTCATGGCCTAACGTGGAAGAAGTCAGGTGACAGGTGTGAGAAAGTGTAAAGCAAGTGCCCTCGGCTCAAACCTTTAAAGGAGGGCCTGAATGATTGAGAAGATGGAGCCGCCCAGGCTGCCCCACAGCAGTAGCAGGTGTTAAACTGTGCTCCTTTCCTGCCGAGACCCATTTATTTTTATTTTTATTTTTATTTTTTATTTTTATGGGAGGGAGTCTGAGCTTCCATCGATTGTCAAAGGATTCAAGACTAAGATTAAGAGCATCCCCCAAAGAAAAGAAGCTGTGGGTTGAGAAGTCCTCGGACCGCCTAATTTTCCCCAGCCCTGGGATTTGTGGCGCCACCCCTCAGTGCCTCTTTTCCCGGGGAACCTGCAAACCTGGAGGGGCCGAGAGGCGGATAATTGACCCAAATACGGATGGGGATATTGGGGGAGGGGAGCCAGGGCGACAGGGCAGCGGCCCCAGACTGGGAAGGCGTGTCACAGATTCCTCCCAGCCCCCTACTTTCGTAGAGCGTGGGCAGGAGGAACCTCTGGGTCCCGCGGATCAGAAAAACTCCGAAGGCCAGATTGTGAGTCCGGGGAGGGAGGCGGAGGATGGGGGCGGGAGGGGCGGGGAGGGGTGGGACTTGCTCCGGCCCCGCCCCCTCGGCTCCGGAGCTGGTCGGGCTCCCCCTGGCGGTCCCCGGCCCCGCTCCTCTCCTCGTGCGCCCCCCTCCCGCCGTCCTAGACCCCCGCCTAGCCCAGGTCGGTCTCCGCGTACCCACAGCGGACCCACGGACGGACAGAGGGAGGGGAGGACGGCCAGCCGCGAGCGCCCGGGCAGCGGCAGGGGGGCGGGGAGGCGACGGCCGTGGCGTGAGGAGCAGGAGCAGGTGCAGCGGCGGCGGCGGGCGGGGCCGGGACCCGGCGCGGAGCGGGGGCCGCGGCACTGGCGGGCGGCAGGGACCGGGAGGCCGCGACTCGGAGTCAGCCCCGCCGGGTCGCGCACCGTGCCGGGGAGCCGGAATTGAGCCGGGTGGGGTGGTGACTCCGGAGAACGCAGGATCCCAAGGAGACAGAGAGGACGAGAGCTGGAGGGGGATCCGGAGAGCGGCGGAGGCGCTCCGAGAAGGGTGGAGTAGGACACAGGGGGCACACCTGGAGGGGAGACGGGCGGGGGTGGCCAGGACCTGAGCTGGAGCCTGGGAGCCCCGGAGGCCAGGCAGGTGAGGCGGGAGACCCGGAGGTGGGGGTGAGGTCCGGTTAGTGGGAGAGATCCGGAGGTGTTAAGTTCTGAGCTGGGAGAAGGTAGGCTGGGAGGGGAGACGGGCTCTCAGTGGGAGACCCAGGGTGGTCAGCTGGCGGGGTAAACTGAGGGAGGACCCAGGGCCAGGTGGAGAGCCGGCAGGGTTGGGGGCTCCCTAGGCGGCAGGCAGGTGGGCTCAAGGGTGAGGCTGTTTTTTTGTTTTGTTTGTTGTTTGTTTTCTGTTTTTGAGACGGAGTCTCGCTCTGTCACCCAGGCTGGAGTGCAGTGGCATGATCTGGGCTCACTGCAACCTCCGCCTCCCGGGTTCAAGCGGTTCTCCTGCCTCAGCCTCCTGAGTAGCTGGGATTACAGGTGCGCACCACCACGCCCGGCTAACTTTTTTATTTTTAGTAAAGATGGTGTTTCACCATGTTGGTCAGGCTGGTCTCGAACTCCTGACGTCGTGATCTGCCCGCCTCAGCCTCCCAAAGTACTGGGATTACAGGCATGAGCCACCGCGCCCGGCCTGAGGCTGATATTAAGAAGTGAAGTGGGATGCAGGTGGAGGGGAGGGAGAGTCTGGTGGGGAGTTATCTCAGAAGTGAGGCCAGCACAGGCTGAGCGCAGCCCAAGGGTGAGAGGGTGCCCACGGAGAGGATGCCACAGTGAGGCCCTAGGCCACGACCCAGGGGTGCCTCCGATGGGGGAAGCCCCTCCCTGGGGGTCACCAGAGCCATGCTGTCCCGCAAGGGCATCATCCCCGAGGAGTACGTGCTGACACGCCTGGCGGAGGACCCTGCCGAGCCCAGGTACCGCGCCCGCGAGCGTAGGGCCCGCTTTGTGTCCAAGAAAGGCAACTGCAACGTGGCCCACAAGAACATCCGGGAGCAGGGCCGTTTCCTGCAGGATGTGTTCACCACGCTGG